GTTCGACCCAGCGATCTTGAATAAAACAGACTGGCCAGTAGGAACAGAGGCAGGTGTAATGGTCAGAACCAGGCCAGTGTCCAAAACATCATAAATTCAGGCAGCACAAGAGTTAAGACTTTGCAGGGCAAGCCGGGGACTATACAGAAAGGCTGGGAAGGGAAAGAGCCCTGCAGTCAAACAGAAAAAGGTTAACTAAAAACAAACAGTTCCCCTATATTTGATGTTGTAGGTTCAGAAGCAAACAACAATCTGGCACAGAACAGCACAAAAAAAGAATATAGCTGTGGTCACACTAGACTTTTCTTCCCATAGACTTCCATTCATACACACGCGAATGTGTCAGACCGGAAACGCAAGCTCATGCAACAAGTTTCGCAGTTTTCTGCACTGCAAGGTTCAAGCTTGGTGAACTCTGACCTGCGAAATTGCATCACTTGACTTTGTGAAACCAATTGAGGATCAAAACATGACCTCTCTCTACAGAAATTTAGAACATGGAACTATCTCTCACTTTTTTAAATGTCAGATCATCTTGTTTAATCCCGCCCCTTTTTACAGCTCCGTACTACAGAATTTCACACGTTAAAAATCTAGTGTGATCACATTCGCAGCTTTGATAGGGGAGCTAATGAGGAGAAAATGATTAAAGACAGGTGAAACAAATTAAGTAGGAGCACAATCAAAGGAACATGTGGCCAATACAAACAAACAGATAGAATCAGCAGATCAGCCTAGAGTTCTGACATTTAAATGTATGGCAATTAACACAAAAACCTTGTGTTTTAGATTGTCAGCATTGATGCTGATTTTATTGTTGCTTTGGGAAAAGCTCTGTTTCTGTGATATTGGGTATACGCTATGCTGCTTTAAAGGTCAGGATGATTGTAAGACACATGGCCTGAGTCAGACGCCACACAAAGAACTTATTCACTTCCAGAGCTTCATTATGTGCACATTTCCACATATTGCACAAGTGCACTTTAGGAGTTCAGGAGGAGGAATTCATCTACAATTGAAATTCATTATCATCAGTCATTATTTGCTTATCCTTGTGCTGTGCCAAGCATGGTAAGATACTTGGATTCTTTCTCATGGTCTATTGGATAAAAATATGTTTTGTTAAAAATTAGTGAGGTAATTTTTTTACTGACAAGCAGGTTTAGAAACAGCTTAGAGGTTGATAAATGATGACATTTTGCATTATTGAACCTATAGCTTAAATTGTATAAACATAAATACATATTAAAATTATTGTTGATAAAACTTTTTCTTAATTTGTTCTTTAATACGAAGACAAGATAACAATAGGCACCATTACAGTAATTAAATTATTTTAGATAAAACAAACACACGCACGCAAAAAAACACTCGCACAAAAATAAAATCTCTGTAATCATTTACTCATCCTTTACTTTTAAAAAACCTATTTGGAGTTCTTCTACTGAACACAAAATTCTAGTTGAAGATTGAACTTTGAAATTTATTCAAGTCACTTTAGCATGCGTGTTCCCCGGAATCAAACAACAGAATTGTTACATTACTGTAAGTTTCACATTGAGGAAGGCACAATGCAATATGTCCTACTTCCTGCTATTTTTACAAACACAACTATGGGTTGTATTTCAAGAAAGTGTATAGCTTGCAGGGCAGGTTGCATTTATCAATTGATTTAAATCACAAAAAAAGTTACATTTTAGTTTTGCTATGAAAATACCAATAGCTATGACTTTGGCCTCAATAAATTTGTAATTTTCCTGCTTACTAATAGCTTTTAATGTAGTAGTTACGTTTAAGTTGTAGGGTGCAGCCAGTTGGTCGAATGACGGTATCCAATGGTGGATGAAGGTTCAATGCCTGTTCGGTCTTTCCAGTGCACAATGTTGATTTATATTAAACTTAACTCATATCTGACTCCAATTTTAGTATGAGGTGGTTTAGAATATTAATATATTTATCCTCGTTTTATCTGACTCCAATTATAAAGATTATTTTGTTTCCTTTCACATTATTTTAGATTATGATTGAATATTCTTTTGATTTGTTATTATACCTTATTCTCATTTACTCAGATTCCTATAGTATCTCGAGTCTTGAATCGGCCGGTTATACAACCTCTTAATACAAGCTTGTCAGTCTTGGTCATTAAACAGAGGCGATTAACCACTCTCCTAAAAAGGCAGAACCCTACATTACTCAATTTAGGAGATTTTTATGTGGTCCCAATAGATCTGTTATCTACTTCAACCAGACAAAGTATTTTAATAATAATCGCACAGGATTATAGGTTTGTAGATAAAGGCATAAATACCCACATTTAGATTAGTTAGTTGGCCTTTTACAGTCTAAGTATACTTGAATTAATGCCAATTTGTTAGTCGAATCTCTAACAACATTGTATAACGTGCCACGCTGCTTCGTCTAACATGTTTTAGTCCGTTACTAACCTGTACAGTGGCTTGTAGTGCTATGGACAACAACATTTACCAGTGATAATAACATGAGGTTTGAATAATTCAAAACATAATTTATTAGTCAGGTAAATGTATAATGCCAAATTCAATCAGTTAATTCATAAACGATCAATACAAAACATCAAATTATCAAAGACAAATCCAAGATGAAAAGATGCATTCCTGACTTCATGCTCCATGTTACGGGCTGATCTGGGTGAGCAGAATCGCCCTGAGCCTTTCTCAAACCTTACCTTAAGTAATCCAAAAATTCCCTCAAAGAAAGGGGTGTGTGTATAACAAAAGGCATTTACATTTAGTGCTGCCTGTGGAAAAGTCACACCCTTCACAGTGGTTCAAAAGATGCCTGAAGTTATATATTTATTGTTTTGATTATGTCTATTTCTGAGAGAATGATACCATTGTACCAATCGCACTGAGACATTTCAAATGATATCAAACATGATAGATAAAGTCACTTTGGTTAATCTAGAACATTCAAACATTGAAATGACCATATGTGTGAGTTGGGGTGGTTGAAGCCGAGTTTCAGCAGACTCAGATGCAAATGCAGCAGGAACTGTTTTTTCCCGCATTCCCACCTGCTGGGTTGTGGTCAACAGTCTCTGTTTTCAGCTCATGTTTTGAATTGTCAAAGACATCAAAAATATTTGTAATATTTCAATTTTTACAAAGTATTGGGTAGGATTAGGTATGTAGAATAATTTAATTAAATTCAATTCTTCTTTATTTGTATAGCGCTTTTACAATGTAGCTTCACATAGAAGGTCATAGTAAATTGGAACAGTGTAGTTCAGTTTTTAGGGTTTAAGTTCAGTTCAGTTTAGCTCAGTTCAGTGGTTTAAAAATCACTACTGAGAGTCCAAACACTGAAGAGCAAATTAATTTATGCGTAGCTCTACCGATCCCAAACCATGCAAGCTAGAGGCGACAACGGAGAGGGAAAAAAACGTCACCAATTGACGTTGAGAAACCAGACTCAGTTAGGCAAAGTTACCCTTTTAATTTCTCCGCTGGCCAAACGTCTTGTGTTTTGAGCTGCAGTCTCAGCGACGGAGGCTGGAAGCTGGCCTCAGCGAAGACTTGTCTGTCCTTGGAGCGTCACAGGAATCAGTCTCATGCTCTCCACTCCTCCAAGACCACCACTGCAGCTTCTCAGGATACAGCCTGGTCCAGGATATGGAAACGTTGGGATCATCTCGTTGCTAGTCCTGGATCGAAATCATCAGAATAAGATCATGCAGAATATGGGCTTTTGCGAGTACTAATAAACAGCCAATAATTTAATAATAGGCAGGTAATGAGCCACTAGCGGGTGCTTTGAGCACAAAACCCTGGATGACAGCAGCGCAAGTTGGACAGTTCATCAAGGATCTTCCACTGGATTTCATCTCACTGTAGTTGTTAAACGTGATATTTTTTCATCTTGTCTCTATCTAACAACTCTTCGATCATGAATCTATTACTTGTTCTCAGATAATGTGTTTTGGCTGAGTGCAAAGATAAGCTAATATATTAATTTATGTAACCACGTACACTGATTCTGCAAATTTGACTGTTCCTTCCCTTTATGTCATCTACTGTATCTTATTGTATGCTATACTTTAATAATAATATTGATTATTAAAACTAATATTCAGCAAAAGAGACAGGGTATGCTTTATATTTTTCAATGAAAATCAAAGAAGGCAGTTATGTTATAGGCTTCGTTTTGTTATAATTTTGTTATAAATATGCATACAGTGAAGATGACGGTCATATGAATATGTAGTTATGCCTCAACATTTTAAGTGTCTGTTATCAAAATGAAAATAGGCAGTTCCTTTTATCATATTTTCACTTTATTGTTAAGATAGTGAAACAATGTAGGCAGGGTCATGCGAATGACGTTATAAAGTACACTGATGTGGGCAGTTTGTTTTCCATATAATACTTGCAAAGTCTGAACGTAGGGAAAGGGTGCAAGACTGAACTTTGTGCTCTTAATATTGAGGAAAAAGCTGCAATCAGATTCAGTCTGCAGCCACACCTCCCTTTTCAGATGTCTCTGTTTCCCCCCATCTATACTGACACGGAGCAGCAGCATTTAAAAACCAAAACGACTTATTCAGTGTTTTCAAAATGCTCCATTTACGGGCTGGAAAACTCCAGGGTAGTGTGGATGGAAGGCGCAACCATAGCAAAATTTATGCGTTATAAAACTAAAACATAATAGTGTAAACGGAGCCTAAATGACCACAGGAAAATAGAGCTACAGTGGTTTCCTTACTTCTGATAATTTGCATAACTTTGCAGCAAGTTTTGATTTTGCTCTCTTGACAACATAATGTTGGTGAAAGTATACCACAAGGGTGGGAAAAGTACTATAAAATCAACATTAATTTTCATAAGCATGCCTGATGTCATGTAGCTGTCTGGTTACAAGATACTTTAGTTACAAAGAAAGAGGACCTTTAAATGCTTTTAAAAGCTCGGCTTAAACCATCCAACGTGTGGCTGTACTTATCTGTTTTTTTCCGTTTCCAGATATTGATGAGTGCCAGGTTCACAACGGAGGCTGCCAGCACAGATGTGTGAACACTAGAGGCTCGTACTACTGCGAGTGCAATCCAGGCTTTCGGCTCCACGTTGATGGCCGCACCTGCATAGGTGAGTGTTTTGGGGTCGTGTTAGGTCACTGACAGATAACAGACAGACAGGCTTGCATCCAAAGCTTTCGAGGCTGTAATCATCACGGCCTAAGAAAAGTTTGCTTTCACAGAACGGGTTTCTCTTCAAAGCTAGCTGGGGTCTCCACCTTGAGCTCCGTGTATGAGCGGGAATCAAAGAGCCTCTTGTTTTCTTAATAGTGGAATGTTTGCTTCTGTTCTGTTCTGTACTGTACGGCCTTGTCATGGCGAGATTGTGATGGACCTTTGAGATAGACCAGATCAGGATCCAACTGTTCGCTTGCCAGAGCTGCTATCAAACCATCACATCCATCTATTCAAATGTGACTGCGCTGCGGAAGGTGCCAGGTGAAACTCAACAATTCAGTTTTCAAAGAAAAAATACCAAACCCTGTGGGAATCGATTTAGCTAATGGTGTCTGGATGAAGGGGCTTTGCTTTTCCAATTTGTGGCGGTAATAGCAATAAAAGGCTTTTGTATAGCACTGTTTCAGAGCTTAGGAATTTCCTGCATGGACATTCACTGAATACATGAAACTAAACAGAATAAATACAAATTGTGAGCCAAGTAGGCAGTTAAACTCTGTCTTTGTGCTATACTGGGATGCCGCATGACAACTAAACAACCTTTAATTTGGATATTGCTTGAAAAAATAATTTTTTTTTGTTGAAATATGTGTTTTGGGGGGACTTTTCACTTCATAGATTTGGCAGTTGACAAAAGCTCAGTTTTGTTTATTTAAAGTACAAGAAAGTATTAAATATGTCATTAAAAGGATTACTTTGAATATAAAGCACATAAATGCTACACTATAAAACCCAAAAAGTTAAGGTAACTCAAACCATTTGAGAAAACCGATTGCAACAAACCATTTAAGTTTAAAAATTAATCCTAATGAGTACTGTGAACCTAATCTATTTGATTAAACAAAGTAATTTGAGCACAGTGAAACTCAATAAACGAAGACAACTCAAACCAACTGAGTAATGTAAGTTAAGGCAACTCAAACCGTTTGAGGAAACCGATTGCCACAAACCATTTGAGTTAAAAACTAATCTATATGAGTACTTTGAACTTACTCCATTTAAGTTGAAGTAATGAGGTATTTAATTAACTCATAAACTTTAACACTGAGTTCAACACTAACTTTCAGTAAATTTTGAATTAATTACATTCATTTCATTTGATAAAGCTGACTTTTGGGTTTTACAGTGTATGAAATATTATTAAATAAACTGTTAAATGACTGTTTTGGACAAATGCAAGTAAAGCTCAATCAAATCTGCTGTTCATTGCATGGAACAGATTCTAAAGTGCATAAAGCAAAAGATGTTAACAGAAATGCATTCAATGGAAAAAAAAGGAATATTGCAATGGTGCTTTATTTTGGTATTATTATTATTTCCCCAAATTATATTTTTATGTTTTTTTTATGTTTTATGCTTCATTTACAAAACAAAAATGTTATAAAATTTGCTATTTTGCTTGTCAAGTTCTCTCACATGCCACTGAACCTGATCTCGTGATTTGTCAGTTTAGTGGCTAATTCAGTTGTTCAGTTCAGTTATAAAAAGGAGGCATGGCACCCAGCCCCATCCCTAAACCCAACCGTCATTCGGGGATAAGCAATTTGTACTAAATTGTACGAATGAGATCATACAAATTTATACAAATTAACCACTAAATCAAAAAGTTGCTTATTGTTGTGAGATTGTGTTGCACAAATGCACACCTTTTTCCCAAGATTGTGTTTCTATAGTTTACGCTGAGAAATAGTAGAATGATTTAAAAAAAAAAACACACACTCTTTATTCATTCGTTTTCTTTTTGGCTTTTTTCCTTTATTTATTTGGGGTCACCACAACAGAATGAACCACCAACTTATCCAGCACATGTTTTACGCAGCTGATGCGCTTCCCATCACTGGAAAACATCCATACACACACATCCATTTACACTCATACACTACAGGCAATTAGCTTACCCAATTCACCTGTACTGCATGTCTTTGGACTTGTGTGTGAAACTAGAGCACGGAGTAAACCCGCACGAACTCGGGGAGAACATGCAAACTCCACACAGGCACACTCTTTATAAAGCATTGTAAAAACGCTATTGTCATATACAAAATAGCTAAAATACATTAAATGTTTGCTTTTTCTGGTAAACACTCATTGATGTTTTAATAATCTTGACAATTCAGCTGAAACATAACTGTTTTAGTTAATTTCAGGCTAACAGTAAATAGTAATACTTCTACAATATAGCGTCCGATAGTGATATCCATAGAAAAATGTATATCTTTGCCTAATAAACACATTGTTGCTATGTTAATATATATACTTTTTAAGAACACATTGAACGGCTGTGGTAGAAAAGCATAAAGCTTTTGTAAAGTGGAAGCCAGAAGATTTGATACAGAATCTGCCAAATGTCAGTTACTCTACCCAAATAAGAGATATCAAACAAAATACATGTTATTTTTTTATTTACTTGTCGGAATAAGATAAAAATCACTTACCTACATTATAGGCCACAAAAGAAAATAACTGTTTAATTTATATAACTGACCTTGTTTAAAAGTTTCTTGATTCTTAAAATTGTTGTTACTTAAATGATCCTCATGAATATTTTTGGTTTTGTTCTTGTATTTACTCACATTTATTTGTTTTATTTTTTAAATGCGATGAGATGTGTTTATAGGAAATGTCTGCTAATTAAATCCACAACAGAAGCAGTAAATATTAGCAACCAATTATATCGTTGCCAATGTTTACTTTGTTGTTTTTACAGTTAAAGTGAAAATTATTAGCCCCCCCTTTGGATTTTTTTTTTTTCATTTTAAAAATTTTCCAAATTATGTTTAACAGAGCAAGGAAATTTTCACAGTATGTCTGATAATTAGACTTTTCTTCTGGAGAAAGTCTTTTTTTTTTTGTTTTATTTCGGCTAGAATAAAAGCAGTAATTTTTTGAAAAGCATTTTAAGGTCAAAATTATTAGCCCCTTTAAGCTATTTTTTTTCGGTTGTCTACAGAACAAACCATCGTTATACAGTAACTTGCCTAATTACACTAACCTGCCTAGTTAACCTAATTAATCTAGTTAAGCCTTTAAATGTCACTTTAAGCTGTATAAAAGTGTCTTAAAATATCTAGTAAAATATTATTTACTGTCATCATGGCAAAGATAAAATAAATCAGTTATTAGAAATGAGTTATTAAAACTATTATGTTCAGAAATGTGTTAAAAAATCTGTTAAATAGAAATAGAAATTGGGGAAAAACTAAACAGGGGGGCTAATAGTTCTGACTTCAACTGTATATGATTAGCAATACCTTACCTTTGTTATGAATTCTTTTGTTAGCTAAATAGCTTTAACCAAGTGTTTTCCTCTTGCCAATATGCCACATTCTTCATTTGAATACTTTAAATAAACTTGTAGGGTTACAAAAAGCAAAAACTGCGTTAAAAAATTCCCCTCTAGATGCTTTTGACCTCTACTGTATTTTATTTCAGCTTTAATTTATTAAAGTACAAATCAGTTGTTATTGCTTGCATGTTGCATATGCTGATGATGGAGCTTACCTTATTTTGAACCAAAAACATTCCATTCAGTTTCCAAGCCTATTTGACATGTAAATAATAAATGGCATTAATAATCCATTTAGGAAAGTTGAATTCTGGAATCTGTTTTCTTTGCTGTATGTCTGATGCAGTAGCAGCGTTTTTTCAGCTGAATCAGCAGTTGAATCTTCTACCTTCCCAAGCGAGCCGAGGAGTCCAGGGCCATCTATTTCTTTTCTGATATCAAACCAACTCTTTTATAAAACCACAATCTAAACTGAAGCTGAGATGGAACGCAATATTAAAGTAAACCAAAAACAGATGCTGCTAATTAATCAATGGGGGCTTCATCCAGGATCATGGTTTCATTTAACTGTAATTTAAGAAGCTAGTAATCTTTCTGATACCTCCAGCCAGAAGCTCTTATTAAGCTCTGACTTATGACCGCTAGATAAAACCTTAATTGTTTTCAATTAACCCAAGCTTTCTCTGCCAAAATACATATCATCCCATCATACATCGAAAATGTAAAGATTTCTTTCACATTCTCACCTCAGAAAATGATCCTTTGTCAACATTATTGAACAGTTTATTTTGGAAGGAGAGACTACTGTATGATTATAGTGACACTTTGAGATCTGATTTGGACCGTTTTTAAGTATTATACGCAGGGATTTTTGAGGACAGACAGACTCCTCCACACTGAGGCTGACTGATGTGCCTGTTATGACAATATATATTTAGTCTCAATACTGAAATGTAGACTGTGGATTGAGGACATTTGGCAGCCAGTGTCTTGAATGGTTTCAGATTTGTGGTTTAAAACTGCTGTGATGCTCAGGCATTTTAGTGGTGTTACAGTAAGTATGGCTGACTCTCTTTACAAAGTTTGACCTATTTGAACATTCAAAAAAACAATGCCTCTGTGTAGCTTTATACAGAAAGTATTGAATAAGATAGTAGGGCTGAACAATAGTGGACAAATCTGATATTGCAGTATTTTATTTTTCTTCGATAAATATTGCAATATGAATAGTTTAACTGGGGTGCGTTTCCCAAACAATAATATAACTCGAGGCTGAACTATCATAGTACGATGCATCGTTTGGGAAATGAATGATGTAGTGACGAGTGTTTAGCAAAACCTGTAGTTTCTCTGTTGCAGATCCATCATTTGAACCACTTTAGTTATAATAATATACAACTCCCATAATGATGCTCTTAACAGGTGGAGTAACTACTTCTTTACAGAAAAAAACCATAGTTTCTTTGTGCAAATTAGATGGTTTTACACGCCAACGCATGTAAAAAATTAAAATCCAATATTAGTTTTGGTCAAAACATGCACTGGTTTTCCATAACAATTAAAATATATGTAAATGGCACATAAAGGGTCCATTTTTCCTTTACGAA